CAACAATATTTGCTCTTGCTTTTGCTTTTTATGCACTTTTATTACCTAGAAAGGCTCTGACGAAGGTGACCCCGCCGAAACGTTAGCCGATAAAGATCTTATGCCAACCTCGTGTTGTGTTTAATAGAAGAAAATTAGAACAATAATCTGAAGCACTTCTGTCTGCTAAGTTCAATGTTTTTCTTCAGCCGACGAGGTCTTTAGGTGATAACTTCAGATTAAATGTCAGGTATGCAACGCAACATACATTAGGGACCCGGGAAGGACTCTAGCAATACGCGTTTAGAAATATCTTGCTGGGAAAAGGGCGCCACGGCAGAAGTTTCCTGGGCAGTTGCCTGTTTTGATAATTCTCCAAGTTTTGAAGCAATGATTGGCTAGGGACCCTTTTTGTCAACTCACACAGTGAACCAAAATCTGTTTATTTCAATGGAAAAAAACGCTTGCAATGGGGCCACGGTCGCATCGAAAATACGCGCAGTCCCAGGCGCCAGACAAGTTCAGAGCGCCCGGTCGTCAAAGGGTTAAAGAGCACAACGGAAACGACTTTGATGTGAAGTGCAAAATACTGCCGTACGAGACTGCGATTCACGGCGCTACTAGCATTGTCTTGCCTTGCCTTCTATCCACAGCATTAAAATCCAATTGAATTGAAGCCAGTGATCACGATGGCTGGAGGGCGCTACGGGTTTATGACGTCATGCCATGGGTGGAGGAGCGTGAGTGGTGGTCCCGACCACACCTCCATGTGCGTCGAGGGTCTAGTCCGATAATGTTCAACAACATCATCGGAACCGCACGGCCCTCCATCCATTGTGATCACCGCCTTCTAACCGTAACTTCATCTTCTGCTTATACTTCGAACTGATTTTGCATGGATGCTACTAGAGGCTGGGTTCATTTTTTTCACTCTTCAATCATTCGATCACTATTGATAGGTGCGAGCATTGATAAAGTAGAGAAAATAATATCATAGAGATATTATGTGATTTAGATACATCAATTAAGCAATAGAGATGTTAGAAAACTTAGACAACAAAGAACTCTTTGAAAATTTGGGCAAAGTCGAAACGTGTAGAAAATTAAATGGTATGGAGTAGATCGTGTACTAGAAATGACCTTTTAATCACATGCGTCCATCCTCGCTCAATGGCCCTTCTCGAAAAACACGTCCACGAGCGTTTGATAACTGAACTTCCCGCCGAGTATCCTACTATTACACGCAGAGATGCCATTTTTTTCAAAAATTTATAGTTCAAAAATCAACAAACTCATAAACACATCCAAAGTATTTTTTTTATTTTTTGGACTTTAATGAGATAAAATTCAGTGTCTCTTGGTGTTACAGAGCATTCAGATCGTCTGAAGGGTCTAATTCAGAGCAATACTAAAATGCCTTTTGAATGTCAACATACATGTTTTCATGACCTGTTTTTGTGCTCCATCCCATTAAGACCACCTTGACGCTGATCTTACGCACGTTTTTTCAGCGATTGTGTACAAGGGTTTTTGTACACCGGACTCTTTCGAGAGACTCTTTCAAGAGAGTGCGTGAAAAACTGCCACGAGAAAGTGGTGGCGATTCGGTCCACTCCACCGCATCCTTCAATTTCCGTGTTTTGCTGGCTAAAACCCGAAGAAAATCCAAGACAATTCGCACTCTAAAATGCTCTGCTCTTTCTTGGGATCACAAGGTTTACACCTTATTCCTTGAAAGTTTCCGATGTCATAGCTGTTTCACCCATTCTTCCGCGCATAAGTTAGTTTACTGTTTATTCTGATGTCCGCATATTTCAATTTCGTCCTACTTTTCTTTTATCCGTTGCAAAGCCACAGAGTTGCAGGTGATTGGATACATTTTTTGTGTTGGTCTGCGTGTGCGATGACGACGGACGCCGGCGTTCATCGCACGGAATGTGTGACAATCGCTGAAGAAGCCGAACATGACGTCGACGATCTGGACAGCGCTATCGATCTGACAAAAGAGATCGAAGACCTGGACAAGCTGCAGGTTAGTGAAGTAGCCTATTTTTGCGTTCGAAAAATTTGTCTCGTGTTCACTCCCTTTTCTTTGTACTCTGTGATATCTTCAAATATCGCTGTCATGGTCAAGTTTTCTTTCACACATCCTCCCTTCCTCCCTTTTCCTCCTTGCTCAAGATTAATGACGATTATCCACTTATCCGGGATTTCTACTCAATTTCGAACAGTTCGTCGGACCTGGTCTAACTAGTGAACCATATTAACCTTCACTCAATACAAGATCCGGCAGGTCGTTCATCGGGATGATATATAGCATTGGTAACCTTCATAACGTTCTCCCATTGACGGAAATTGACGCAATTGCCCAATTAGGGGTGGTTAGAGAACTTCATCCGGGAAATTGCGGCAGAGTTCTGCAATTTCGATTTTATTTGCAATTACCTTGGCTCCACTATTTCTGGTTTTTTTTCTAGTTTCGTGCTACTCTTTTGGCTGCACCTGTTAAGATTTTGAAATTTGAAAATGGAATTTGTAATAATATGTCATTCCCACCGAAACAAAACAATGGAAAGCTCGATTAGGCCAGCATAATTAGCTGGGGAACTATCTTATGTCAGTCCATTGAATTCTGATGTACTGCATTCTTAGGGACCCGTTCCTTTTTTTTTCGGATTGGCGATGAGGAAGAGCTAGGCGAAGATCTCATCTGGATGCGCAATGCATCGAACTTTTGTCAATTTCAGAAACATTGTAACACTTCATTGTGTATTTATTGTGGGTAGTGTTTTTTCCAGCCAATATTTACATCAGCTTGCTTGTTTTCCGAAGGTACCCAATATCGAACTTGCAAACTTCGGAGACGAAAGGGCCTTTTTGCGGTTCGATCTTGCTTCCCTCTTCGACGACCACATTTGTGCTCTCACTTTCCCTTATGAGCTCGTGAATTTACCTTTCCGAGCTCTCATTTTTCCATTATATCTTTACAATGTTACAGGCTATAGGGTTCCTTCATTTTTTTAGCGTTCCTCGTCTTTTTTCTGAAAACCCAGGGACTTGGGAAACCATCAAAGTAGGCGTTTGTCGAGGGATTTTCTGGTGTATCCCGCAGACGGGCCCTACGGTCCCACGCGGCCGTCTGGTGTGGCCCGCCGGCGGGTCATACGGTCGTCAAAGGGTTAATCGAGCATAATCTGATCGGGTTCGAGCCCAGAGCTTGATATGAACTGTGCGTAAAAGAAAGTGGTATTTGCTACAGCATGAGAGTACATAGATTAATCCAGTTCACTTGCCGAGTACGTCACACCACTCCTCTCGGAGGGATGAGAAATAATCTAACCATACTAAAGCGCATTATCTACCAGTAACTTCATTATGCCGAGCTTTTGATTGTAGACTGCCGTCTTTTAGCCGCACTTCGCCTTGCGAAAGATACCGCAACAAAGCTGGATAATGAGCAAAACTCTTCGCCCCAATGGAAAATCGAACCATTAATTCATTAACATGAAACTCTGGCCTGA